AAGGACTTTTGGTCAGACACATCCAGTAGTCTCTACACTAAATCATGATTCTAAACGTCTGTTTTGTAGAACTGCAAACAGCTAATAATAACAATAGTGTATAAATACATCAGCTTGTCATTTTAAATATTTTCTGGTATATTTTGTCATGTGTTCATGATTTAAAAGAAGCAGGCAGTATCCCTCTTCTAGTATATATAAGCATTAATTAATATTAAGGGATATGACTACAAATTGTATAGCAAATGCTCCATAACTAAAGAAAGTTAAATCTTATAACTGCTATTGTTGCTGAAATGTGGCTTTGGCATTCTTGAATTTCATAAGTACTTCTGGCCAAAAGGCTTACTAGGATACACTGTGTTTTTAATCATCAAAGTCTGTATTCATTTAAAAATCATACAGTAAACATCTTTTGCCCGGATGTTAAATAGTCACTGTTCTAGTAGTTGCCCATGAAAATTGAAGCATGTTAAACTATGCAAATTGAAAAGAAAGAATGAGCTCATAAACTGAATCAAATTCATTCTAGCTGCAAATGAGTATCTACTAAACGGGATGGAAACAGTAATGTTTTATATGTAGCTTGGAAAGATATTTAAAGTAATTCAAACCTTTCTCCAGGTGGAAAGCAAGAGAGTGATACTGACCTTTCCTTATTATAATTTTATATTTTGTAAATACAATATTTATATTTTATCATAATATATATAAAGATTTCATGACCTTACCAAATTTATTTTAAGTTACCTACTTGTTCTTTATTTTGTAGAGTCTAAATATGTCTCATATATAGTGTCAATATTAGAAGAAATAATTGCTGCAATGCAGTTTTGAAGTTTGTTAAAATTTGCAACTTCAGTCATACTTCTTATGTATTAGTGATTTAAATATTTTAACTTAACAGCTGTCTGACATTATGGTTTCTAGTACTTGAGAAATTTCAAATATATTTGCAATTTTATGCTGATTGCCCAGGAATACAAAGTCATATTACATTGCCCATTTTGACATTGAAAGTGTGACTGCCTTGCTTTAGATACTATAGAAACTGTGTTTGCAAATGTGTAGGAGCATTTTCAGTTCCCTACATTTCCCATGCAACAGGAAGTTTGATGTCTGGAGTGAATAACAATCATACAGATATAAAATAAATGTAAATCAGTATTTTCTAAAATATCAAGAACAGATGGACTCTTGGGGAGTACATTTTATAAATATATTCAAATATATGTTTCCTAGAATATGTGCACTATGAGATTTGGCATACCTCTTTCCATTCCTATCAGTAATAACTCCAAATGCATGCACTTTTCTGTAGTCAGTGTTAATAAAGCACAGTAAGTTGCTAAACCCTGGTTTAAACCCTTAATGTACTCTGTCACCATGGTGAATAACATTCACATGGTGAATGTTATGACCTTTATTTCTAAATAGATGTAAAAGCACTATAAGATCTAGCAAGTTGTTCAGTAGCATACAATTAAGTTGTTATTTGAGCTGTGTCACAGTCAGAGTTTTCACCATTGTGTCTTCATTCTGTTCTGGATCCCAGAAGGTAAAACAGGAGTGCTTGTTTAGAGCTATTGGACCTGATTTTGGTTTATCATTTTTGGCTTCTTAGCTTTTCTGTGGCAGCTCCTGCAAGTGCTCATTGTGTTGCACCTGTTGATGTACTTGTTCACACTGCTGGGGAATCTGCTATTGAGGGTACTGTCTACAGTGAATGTATACTGCACACATTTATGTACCTACTGTCTGCTTTCTCCATCTCTAAAATTATGTTCTGTGTGATAATCAAAGTTTATCAACCTGTCCTGCCTCCACTGCTGTGTCATATGTGGCATAAGCTAATCGCATGTTCTTCAGCTTTTGCTATACTCAACCCTTCTTCATGGTTATTGGGTAACCCCCCTATATGCACTTTTTATGCCCTGTGTTACATTCTGTGCAGTAGCTCTCTGACTATCTTGGAGTTTTTCCTGAGATATTGTTAAGGTTTAAATCTAGGTGTTCTCCCAAAGCATCATGGACTTATAGTTAGAGCTTTTGAGAGGTGACTGGATCATGAGTGTGGGACTGGATTAGACATTAATGGGTTTATAGCTGTATATAATGTTGGGAAGTAAAGCCGGGTGGGAAGAGGTGGGTTACTGCAGGTGTGCCCTAGAAAGGTGTATACATATATCATTCCTCCTCCCTTGATGGCTTGCTGCTTCCCAGTACCCTGCCAAGTATAAGCTTTCTGTATGCCATGACCCTCTGCTAAGCCACCCTGCCTTGGAGCCAGACAACTATGGATTATAACCTACATAAACTAAACCTTTTGTCCTTTAAATTGTGGGTGATGGGGTATTGTACCTCAGTGCTGAAACAGTAACTCAGAGAAATTTGTTCATTTTCAGCATTTTGGTGACAATAATAATTTTGCCCCTTTTCTTATGTGTATCTAAATGTAACTCAAAATTGTCTCTGCCACATTTTGCAATGAATGTTGAATTATTTTGAAGCATGTTAATCATCATGTGTCAGATCTCATTGTCTATGTAGTTATTGTGTTCTCCTGCCATCAGATGGCTGCCATTTGAAGGATCCACTCTGCTGAAAGACAGCAGATGTCCAGCAATCAACCTTACTGTGCTTGTAAAAGTACTCTGTATTTTCCTTTGTCATTTACTTCTACACCAATTTTAGAAATAAGAAAGACTCCACAAAAGTCCTGCATACAATAGTCATAATATCCTCATACTCAGCCTCAGGAACAAGGATCAGAACAACATAAGAAAGGCCTTACTCATAAAACTCTTACCTCAGAGTATTTTGGCTAGAGATGTAGTTAATAGGGACACTATGGCCTCCATTTTTCTTCCTTCTTTTCTCTCCATTTTTGCTCCTCTCACTTCTTCCTCACTTTCCTCTGTTGTTTAGTTTCTTCTTTCTTCCTTCCTTAATTTTCTTATTCCTTCTTTCTTTCATAGATTTAAAGAGTCTTAGAAACTCTTGCATCATAATCCATAGAATATAGCCCGATATAGTATTCCATGTGTGTTCTCATTTTTTCCTGTCCTGTGACAGGCCATTTAGAATAGCCACAAGAAGTATGCCCTTAATGTAAACCTAAAATGTTATCATCTTTCCTTTAACACTGCTTCAGATAGACAATTTAAACTGATGAATACAGTTCTGCCTCAGGAATATTCAAATGTATGGAAGTTGTACTTTTTGAAAGAGGGAGGAACCTCTAGGATGTTTAGCATTTATTATTGAAATAACTACATAGGTCAATTGAGATGTAGGGTTAAAGAAAAAAGTTAAATAAGCATAACATGCCAGTCATTAGGCACACAGCAGCTTGGGACTATATTGAACTGGAATCATGAAAGCAACCAATGCTCAGGAAAAAGTGGACAATTCACATTTAATTCATATTTTATTATAAATCTTGCTATTTAAAAATGAGTTTTTGGCACCTTTGCTTTTACATAAGAAAAAAATACTCTCATGCTTTAAATTTATGTTCAACATAAAGGACTCTTGACCATAACAAGCTACAGAGTGTGGGAAAGCAGGTGTCTCATGTACAGATGGTTTGGGGGTTTGGTTTTTTGTGGAGGTGATTCACATTGCCATAGGGCTTTTACTGAAAAATGTTTGCTGTTTTACTTGCAAACATTTTCTGACTTCACACCAGAATTTGTACATATGAAAAATGTTTGTGCAGGGAATGCTTAGAGAAAGAAAGACACATTTAGGTTTTTGTAGTCATTAATTGTGATATACCCTTGATGAGTAGGAAACTCTAGCAAGTTAGTAAAGCTTTGGGTGTGTCTGTGAGTGACTGGCTTGTGGGACACAAGCTAAGCAGAGAAAACCCACCCTGCATAGTGTTAGCACCAACCAATAAGCTTGTACCTAAGATGGAATAAATAGGGAAGAAAGGAAGTCTCTGTTCTATGTAGGAGCTCTGGTATCTGCTATTGCCTTTGGGTGTTGGTCTCCAGTTCCTTGAGGCTTCCAGTGCCAACTCTTCAACCTTTCAGTGGAGATTCTTTAGTAGGGAAAGAGTGAGAAGAAGGGGTATTGGATCAGAGTTAATATTTAAGGTCATGTCTCCTTGCCTTACTCAGACAACCCCAGACATATAATTTACTAATAGCATCTTTCAGGCTAATAAATTTGACAGTAAGTCTAACCATCACATGATACCAGGTGAGAACTTTACTTGGGGAAATTAATATGTTGAAAGAGAGAAGAAACTTTTAATCTGTGAGAAAGGAACAGTATGTTATAAAGAATTCAGTCTGATAAGGTCTTAGCTATTCCTACCTCATCATGAAGTGATTGAAGGTGGGGCTACATTGCAAATATTATTCTGGCCCTTCTCCTAAGATTAATCTTCAGAGTTCTAGAATTCTTTGTGATCTTGGAATAAGTGACTTTCCTGTCTGAGACATTAGAAATAATTCCTTTTCTTTCACATTAATTCCTTAACATAATACTGTCACCATATTATAACAGCTTTTTCATTTATTACATATTCATATTTCCCTTTTTGGCATGATTTTATTTAATTTAATGAAAATGTTGATAAGGTTTGAGAAGTCTGTGCCATGAAACTAAGTGTCTCCTTTAATTTTCTACCCACTGACAACCTTAGGCCTTTCCCTCTATTACATTGTGTTCTTCTCTTGCCTGGATCGAGATTCTTCTTTGGGTTTAGTGATTCTCTCCATGTGACATTGACTCTGAAAGTTCAGTGGCACAGTTGTGATCCTATTTTCAAAGACAACAGAAAAGAAAGAGCCCATAAGTCCGGTAAGGAGACACAGGCACCTCTGCAAAACTAGGAGCAAATATTCCTCAATACAGTGATCCAACAGGCTGGATCAAGTCAGTGTTCAAGGAGGAAGCCTGGGCTGAGAAGGGGTTTGTCTACAGTCTTTCATTTGGGTCTTACTGAAGCAGCTATTGTATTGTTTTTCTTCTCCCTCTTGGCTCAGTGGGCAGAAAATGGAGCAGCCTTGTATCAGTGAAGAAGAGTTTCTGTTTTATGAACTATCCAGTCAGCCACACTGGCCAGAGAATAGAATCCTCTGTCAGGCACTCAAGTCAGAAGCTCCCAGTGTGCTGCCGAGACTCCCAACCTGGCTTGGCCTCACTTGCTCTATGACTGCTACTGAGTGTGGCTGGATGGGAAGGTCCTGGGAGACTCTCAATCCTCAAAATGGTGATTATTCAAGGTCAAATGGCCCACACTAGGAGCAAGTCTTGTGGTGGACGTGTAACTTCTGGTTAGAAGTGGACAGAACTAGCTTTGGCAGGATCTGGGCCTCCCTGGATCAGTTGGGGAATCTTTGTTCCTGTATGTGAACTCTCACTGGTACACATTTGGTCCTTGGTAACCCTCTGGGCAGGGCTGAGACATCTGCCAGGACTTAAGGATCCTGTCTTGTCCCAGTGAATTGACTTTACCATGGCCAGCACTCTGGCTTTGCCAGCTCAGTCACCATGCTTTTCAGGGAGCAGGAGAGTTGACGGGAGACTCATGACACGTATGTGAGGTTTCTGTGTGGGTAAAACTGATATGTTGGCTTCCCTGTTTTTTCTTTCAGCAGCAGACCAGGTATTATGATTTATATCCTCAGTGTCTCCTAAATGTCCCATGAATCTGAAAGTTGATTGGTTTATTAATTCATTGGTGAGTTCAGTGTCTGAATGTGCTCTTAGGTGGTGGAAATTTATTGGAGATGGGTAAGTTTTGCAGTTAAAAATGGAATGGAGGGCCGGGGATTTAGCTCAGTGGTTCCACCACCTGCCTCACAGGCACAAGGTCCTGAGTTCAATCCCCGGTACCAAAAAAAAAAAAAAAAAGGAATAGAGAATTGATTTACCTCTGAAGAAGCAAAAAAGTTTATAAGTAAATGACTAGTTTTGCATTTCTCATAAATATGCCTAAAGATCCATAGAATTATGATGCAGGTCAGCAAACCACCTATGGTTTCTTCCAGTGCATCTCTCTGATTTCATCTAGTTTCCCCCAAGGTGGCCACAGGATGGATTTTCTGGAAGCTCTTTGGACCTTAACAATTTCTTCAAGCAAAAATGTTAATTTGGTTTCAATTCTTTGGAATTTTGAGTAAATTAATAATTGAGGTTAGTATATCATTATTATTATACTGAAAAGATTATTTGTGGTTTCTTTGCCTCAAATGTTTGCCCATAGGATTGTAGGGAAATTCATGTTTCAGCCACTTCATTCCCTTATTCTACTGCCTCTGAGCTTGGGGTATTGCAAGTTGGTTTTTTAAAAAAAAATCTTTTTGATGTGATTAAACTATTATTATTGATTATTTTCTTCAAATGATAATGAATTAGAATTTTTGATAAAATAAGAAAAGTGCTGATGTACAAATGATGAAAATTCAAAATAAAAATTTTCATATGAAATATTCATCTAATATTTTACAGATGTGCCTTATCGTTTTGCCAACATGTGGAATAGCTTTATTTATATTTGTCCATCTAATATATTTTATTATATTTTTGTAGTTTTATCTTGTGCTTATTACATCTGGTGTAGATCCTTTTTAATTTATGGGATTTTAATGTTTGTAAAATTGTGTCACTGAGGGCTACATATGATGTAAAGTTTATAATTTCCAATCCATTTGTTTATATCTGATACATAATTACATGGCATATTATTATATATTAAGCTAGGGATATACTCTATGGTACAATGTCTTAGTAATTACATTAGGTTTTTGTTAATACCTTAATTTTTCCAGCATATTCCATGATATTATATGCAAGTAAAGACAATTTTGTGTGTTCCATCTATTTCTTTTTTTTTTTTTTTTGGTACCAGGGATCAAACTCAGGACCTTGTGCTTGTGAGGCAGGTGGCAGAACCACTGAGCTAAATCCCTGGCCCCTCCACTTATTTCTTTTTAGTCTTCTGCTTTGTCTGTATCCACTGACAAGATCTTACAATTTTTGTTCTCTAGATTTTATTTAATGGATTACATTAATTATTGAATAATGCCTTTGATACTTTAATAACTTATTGTCTATAATTATACAAATAATGAGCAATAAAATTTCCTATTTGTTGAGTGATTTTCATTTTTATGCTGCTACTGTTTCTCTAACTTTCTGATATTGTGACCTATCTACTTTTGTAATATGTATATTCATTGTTTTTAATTTCTTTTGAAGTACCTGTTTCTGAGTCCCTGAAATGATAATGTGTTGTACATTCATTTTCACTCTTAGGGTTAGGGTTAGGGTTAGGATTAGGGTTAGGGTTAGGAGTTAGGGTTAGGGTTGGGGGTTAGGGATAGTGTTTGGGGTTAGTGATAGGGTTAGGGTTAAGGTTTAGGCGTTATGGTTAGGGTAGGGTTAGGTTTAGTGTTAGGTGTTAGGGTTAGGGTTAGAGGGTTATGGTTAGGGTGTTAGGGTTAGCATTTAGGGATTAGGGTTTGGGTTAGTGCTTAAGGTTAGGTTTAGGGATAGGGTTAGGTTTAGGGTTTAGGGTTAGGGTTTAGTGGTTAGGGCTTAGGGTTAGGGATAGAGATCAGGTTATGGTTTAGGGTTAGGGTTTGGGTGTTTGTGTTAGGGTTAGGCTTTAAGGGTTAGGGTTAGCATTAGGGATAGGGTTTGGGGTTAGGGATAGGTTTAGGGTTAGGTTTAGAGGGTTATTGTTAGGGGTTATGGTTAGGGATAGGGTTAGTGTAAGGGGGTTAGGGTTAGGGCGTTAGTGTTAGTGAGTTAGGGTTAGGGGCTAGGGTTAAGTGTTATGAGTTAGGGTTAGGGTTTATGGTTAGGGTTAGGGTTTAGAGTTCAGTTCAGGGTTAGGTTTAGGTTAGGTTTAGTGTCAGAGTGATAGCTTTCTAATTGAAATGCCTGTGTCTTCCAGTGTGAGTTGGAAAGTTAACATTAGCTTAAGTTCGTTGAGAAGGTTAGGGATAATATCAAATGTCAAGTACCTGGGTATTGGGATTTGGTCCCGCTGCTTAGGGTTAGGGTTAGCACTAGGGTTAGGATTAGGTTTAGGTTTAGGGTTCCAATTCATGTACCTGCCTTTTGGAGGGTGTGTATGATTGTTAGGGTTAGGGTTTTTCTTTTCATAAAGGTCATGGATAGCGCTGAAATAGAGGTACCTGAGAATGACTTAGGGTTAGGGTAGGGTTAAGGTTAGGCTTAGGGTTAGCATTAGGGTTAGGATTATTTTTAGGTTTAGTGTTCCAATTCATGTACCTGCCGTTTTGAGGGTGCGTATGATTGTTAGGGTTAGGGTTTTTCTTTTCATAAAGGTCACGGACAGCGCTGAAATAGAGGTACCTGAGAATGACTTAGTGTTAGGGTAGGGTTATGGTTATGGTTAGGGTCAGGGTGATAGATAGCATTGAAATTGAATTCCCCATGGCTTTTAGTGTGGGTTGGAAAGGTAGTATTAGCGTAAGTTCATGGGGGATGTTAGGGATAATGTCGAATGTCAAGTACCTGGGTATTGTGATTTGGTCTCCCTGCTTAGGATTAGGGTTAGGGTTAAGATTACGTTTAGGTTTAGGGTTCCAATTCATGTACCTGACGCTTGGAGTTTGGTATGATTGTTAGGGTTAGGGTTCTTCTTTTCGTAAAGTTCATGGTTAGTGCTGTAATACAGGTACCTGAGAATGACTTAGGGTTAGGGTAGGGTTAGTGTTAGGGTTAGGGTTAGGGTTCAGGGTGATAGATAGCATTGAAATTGAAATGTGTGTGTCTTCAAGTGAGGGTTGGACAGTTAGCATTAGCATATGTTCATGGGGACAGTTAGGGATAATGTCAAATGTCAGGTACCTGGGTATTGGGATTTGGCCCCGCTGCTTAAGGTCACGGTTAGGGTTAGGATTATGTTTAGGTTTAGGCTTCCAATTCATGTACCTGAAGTTTGGAGTGTGGGTATGATAGGGTTAGGGTTCTTCTTTTCGTAAGGGTCATGGATAGTGCTGTAATAGAGGAATGTGAGAATGACTTAGGGTTAGGGTAGGGTTAGTGTTAGGGTTAGGGTCAGGGTGATCGATAGCATTGAAATTGAAATGCCTGTGTCTTCCCTTGTGTGATAGAAAGTTAGATTTAGCTTAAGTTCATGGGGAGGGTTAGCGATAATGTCAAATGTCAAGTACCTTCGCATTGGAATTTGGTCCCGCTGCTTAGGGTTAGTGTTAGGGTTAAGATTAGATTTAAGTTTAGGGTTCCAATATATGTACCTGACGTTTGGAGTGTGGGCATGATTGTTAGGGTTAGGCTTCTTCTTTTTGTAAAAGCCATGGATAGTGCTGAAATACAGGAACCTGAGAATGACATAGACTTAGGGTAGGGTTAGGGTTAGGGCAAGGGTTAGAGTCAGGGTGATAGATAGCATTGAAATTGAAATGCCTGTGTCTTCCAGTGTGGGTTGGAAAATTAGTATTAGCAGAAGTTCATGGGGAGGTTTAGGGATAATGTCGAATATCAAGTACCTGGGTATAGGGATTTGGTCCCGCTGCTTAGGGTTAGCATTAGTGTTAGGATTAGGTTTAGATTTAGGGTTCCAATTAATGTACCTGATGTTTGGAGTGTGGGTATGATTGTTAGGGTTAGGGTTCTTCTTTTCATAAGGGTCATGTATAGTGTTGAAATAGATGTATCTGAGAATGACCTTGGGTTAGGGTAGGATTAGGGTTACATTTAGGGTCAGGGTGATAGATAGCATTGAAATTCAAATGTCTGTGTCTTCCAGTGTGGGTTGGAATATTAGTTTTAGTGTAAGCTCATGGGGAGTGTTCGGGATAATGTCGAATATCAAGTACCTATGTCTTGAATTTTGGTCCCGCTGCTTAGGGTTAGGGTTAGGGGGAGGATTAGGTTTAGGTTTAGTGTTCCAATTCTTGTACCTGACCTTTGGAGTGTGAGTATGATTGTTAGGCTTAGGGTTCTTCTTTTCGTAAAGGTTATTGATAGTGCTGTAATAGAGGTACCTAAGAATGACTTAGGGTCAGGGTAGGGTTAGTGTTAGTGTTAGGGTTAGGGTCAGGGTGATAGATAGCATTGAAATTTAAATGCATGTGTCTCCCAGTGTGGGTTGGAAAGTTAGTATTAGCGTAAGTTCATTGGGAGGTTTATGGATAATGTTGAATGTCAAGTTCCTGGGTACTGTGATTTGGTCCCACTGCTTAGGGTTAGGGTTAGGGTTAGTATATGGTTTAGGTTTAGGGTTCCAATTCATGTACCTGACGTTTGGAGTGTGGGTATGATTGTTCGGTTTAGGGTTCTTCTTTTTGTAAGGTTCATGGATAGTGCTGAAATAGAGGTACCTGAGAATGATTTAGGGTTAGGGTAGGGTTAGGTTAGAGTTAGGGTTAGGGTCAGTGTGATAGATAGCATTGAAATTGAAGTGCCTGTGTCTTCCAGTGTGGGTTGGAAAGTTAGCATTAGTGTAAGTTCATGGGGAGGCTTAGGTATAATGTCCAATGTCAAGTACCTAGGTATTGGTATTTGGTCCCGCTGCTTAGGGTTAGTGTTAGGGTTAAGATTACATTTCAGTTTAGGGTTCCAATTCATGTACCTGACGCTTGGAGTGTGGGTATGACTGTTAGGATTGGGGTTCTTCTTTTCGTAAAGGTCATGGTTAGTGCTGTAATAGAGGTACCTGAGAAAGACTTAGAGTTAGGCTAGGGTTAGGGTTAGGGTTAGGGTTAGGGTTAGGGTCAGGGTCAGGGTCATAGATAGCATTGAACTTGAAATGCCTGTGTCTTCCAGTGTGGGTTGGACAGTTAGCATTAGCGTATGTTTATGGGGAGGGTTAGGGATAATGTCGAATGTCAGGTACCTGGGTATTGGGATTTGGTCCCGCTGCCTAGGGTCAGGGTTAGCGTTAGGATTAGGTTTAGGTTTAGGCTTCCAATTCATGTACCTGACGTTTGGAGTGTGAGTATGATTGTTGGGGTTAGGGTTAGGGTTAGGATTAGGTTTATGTTTAGGCTCCAATTCATGTACCTGACGTTTGTAGGTTGATTATGATTGTTAGGGTTCGGCTTCTTCTTTTCATAAGGGTCATGGATAGTGCTGAAATAGAGGTACCTGAGAATGACTTAGGGTTAAGGTAGGTTTAGGGTTAGGGTTAATCTTAGGGTTAGGGTCAGGGTGACAGATAGCATTGAAATTGAAATGCCTGAGTCTTCCATTGTGGGTTGGAAAATTATTATTAGCGTAAGTTCATGGGGAGGATTAGGGATAATGTCGAATGTCAAGTACCTGGTTATTGTGATTTGGTCCCGATTCTTAGGCTTAGGGTTAGGGTTAGGCTTACTTTTAGGTTTAGGGTTCCAATTCATGTATCTGACGTTTGGAGAGTGGGTATGATTCTTAGGGTTAGGGTTCTTCTTTCTGTAAGTGTCATGTATAGTGCTGAAATAGAGGTATCTGAGAATGACTTAGGGTTAGTGTAGGTTTAGGTTTAGGGTCAGGGTTAGGGTCAGGGTGATAGATAGCATCGAAATTGAATTGCCTGTGCCTTCCAGTGTGGGTTGGAATGTTAGCATTAGTGTAAGTTAATGGTGTGTGTTAGGGATAATGTCCAGTGTCAAGTACCTTGGTATTGGGATTTGGTCCCGCTGCTTATGGTTAGGGTTAGGGTTAGGATTAGGTTCACATTTAGGGTTCCAATTCATGTACCTGACATTTGGAGTGTGGGTATGATTTTTAGGTTTAGGGTTCTTCTTTTCATAAGGGTCATGTATAGTGCTGAAATAGAGGTACCTGAGAATGACTTAGTGTTTGGGTAGGATTAGGGTTAGGGTTACGTTAGGGTCAGGGTGATAGATAGCAGGGAAATTGAAATGACTGTGTCTTCCAGTGTGGTTTGGAAAGTTAGTATCAGCAGAAGTCAATGGTGTATGTTAAGGATTATGTCAAATGTCAAGTACCTGGGTATTGGGATTTGGTCCTCCTACTTAGGGTTAGGGTTAGGGTTAGGATTAGGTTTAGGTTTAGGTTTAGGTTTAGGGTTCCAATTCATGTACCTGACGTTTGGAGTGTGGGTATGATTGTTAGGTTTAAGGTTCTTCTTTTCATAAGGGTCATGGATAGTGCTGAAG